GGCCCGAAGGAGTCCATCCCCTCGGCTGTGGCAGGGCCGGTTAGAACCTGCACTGGACACTTTAGGAAGCCCCCAGAAGCCTGTCTTTGGGGCAGGGGAGGCGGTGGCTTTGTTCCCTTTGCTTCTCCCACCTCTGTCCCCATCCATCCTCCCTAGACCCCCGTTTTCTGGTGATGTGGGTGTCTCAGCAGGACTGGGCACCCAGGAAGATGCAGAGCAAGGCTAATGCGAACATGAACAAACACAATTACGGAGAATCCTGTTGTCCTTCCCTTTCCCCCTTCTCTTTGAAATCAGCAGCAGGACAGAACACAGAAGGTCTGCTTCCGCTGCCTTGGATGGCAGAAGAAACCCAGCCACCGTCACACCTAAAGCGCCCTTTTAACCCAAGCAAAGCCCTTAAATTATAACAGCAAAGTGTATTCACATAATGTAATTATTATAATGCTAATGTAATCACTGTAGAAAGCACAGAGTAAGTGCCAATTGTCTTAAAGACTGTGCAGAGTGCTTTACATGTTCTCATTTAATCTTCAGAAGTAAAGGTAAAGGCTGAGAGAAGGAAATGACTTGCCCAAGGTCACACAACTAATCAGTGGTGGAACTGACATTCAAACGCAGTTCTGGTGTTATTTGGCTCAAATAAGTCTCTATCTTTATATGAACGCTCACTTTTATTTTCAACATTTATGCTCATGCCTTTTCAGCTGCTCTGATCAAACCTTCAAAAAAAAATTGACAAATCTAGGAGTCTTCTCGAGAAGGAAATCAGGAAGGGGAAATTTCTCTCCAAATTCTGCTAAATGGGCTAGGACATAGGGTAGAGCTGGGCATGTTTCAGCCACTTTGTGCCAATCTGCCCTGTGATAGTTCCCTAAGATGTTCACTGTAAAAAGACGCTGTGTTTATATAAATACATAAATATATCTTACATATATTGAGGCATAATTTACATATAGCAAAAGTCACCCTGTGTAGTGTATAGTGCCATGAGTTTTGATAAATGAATAGTCATGTAACCATGTCCACAATCAGGACATAGAACGTTTCCATCACTGTATACATTTTTTTAAAAAAAGGCATTGGTTAATCAATCCTTCTGATGTAGTGATGCACGAAATACTTGCCCATATTTTAAAGCAACAAATTAAATATTCAAAAACCATATATTCATTCCTCGACTAACATTTATTTATGAGCCACAGACTATGCCAGACGTGGGGGATGTGGGGTCTAGCATGAAATATATAACCCGGCAGAGAAGACAGGACCTGAGTCAGCAACCACAAGTGTGCTGGGCTCCACGAGTTGCTGCTGTGACATTGTGACAAGAGGACCTGGCCCTGACCAGAAGAAGGGACAGGGAGAACAGCTCTGAGGATGTATAAGGACAATAAGGAGTTAGGCAAAATATGTGTGTGTTTACATACGTGTGTGGGTGTGTGTATGTTGAGTGTGTGGTCATACGTGCGTAGGTTTGTGTGTGTGTGTGTATGTGTGTGCGTGTGTGTGCACTCATGGACACTGGGACAGCCCTTCAGGTATAAATCTGGATGACCACTATGTCAGAGACTGCGCAGGGTCCTGGAGAGGCAGAGAGAAGACACAGGCTTTGCCCTTGAGGCTCACAGGACTGCAATTCTGAGCGACTTTTTCATTTGTGGGGGCAAGTCCTGGTTCTTTCTCTCTTCACCTTAACTCAAAGTTCTGTCATTCTGTCAATCTAGAGCAGAGCCACCCAACAGACCTTCCAACCCTGATGGACGTGCTCTGTGTTGTCTAATGCAGTAGCCATTAACCACGAGTGGCAAGGCAGCACTTAAAATGTAGGGAAAGTGAGGAATTGATTTGTTAGTCAATTTAATTTGAGTTTAAATGTAAGCAGCCACGTGTGGCTAGTGGCCCCTTTACTGGGTGGGGCAAGTCTAGAAGGGGATGCTACCGATATGTACTTCTCCTTCTGGCCTAGTTTGAGTTGTAGACTAACACATAGAACTTCTCATACTTTGATGCCTCAGTGTAAGGATGGGGACAGGAATCTGAGATTGCATGAATAAGTGGAACTCTTTTCTGTGCCCTGTGCAGGCTGGAGATACGGAGTTTCTGTAACACTCTCTGGAAGAACAGCCACTGGTCAAATCAAAGTGGTTTTGTTTGGAAATAGGGGAAATACTCACCAATACGATGTCTTCAAGTAAATTTCCCCTTTTTAGTATCACATCTTACCTGATGACTTTCACGGCCTTTGCATCCATGCACTGAAATGCACGTGGCTCTTTATCAGTGGCTTTTTAATTACTTACTTTATGTATTGAAGTTAATTTCAGACTTCTGCTAACAATTGTTCTTCTTCTCTATTATGAATCCAGGCATTTAATTCTTCCTCTCTCAACAGATTAGATTTTTTTAAATAAATCTAATATTATCCCGGATGTCATGTTTTCTGATTAGCCTAGTGACACATGCTTGTTTTAAACTAAGTGGATAACTCATCATTGTACAAATAATTCTACCAGAAAAAAAAATAATATGAAGGAATTGCGGAGTTTTCTATAAGAAAGTTTTACGGGGAAATTAAATTTGAGGAAACAATATTTCAATTAATAGTTTGAGGCTGCCGGCATATTGGTGATTTTTTCATTTCTCTAACCCTTATTTGAGAGTTAATTTGGGAAAATCGTCCTGTTAATCTAGAGTAGAAAAGAGTGACATGGCCTCCTATGGTCCTTAGGACTTGTTTCAGTGAATGAG